ACACACACACACACACACACACACACACAACTTGAATGTGCATCTCTAACAGGCAGTTTTTAAAAGGGGAAAAAAAACAACATGGGGGAACCTGGGTGGCTTAGTTGGTTAAGCATCTGCCTTCACTTGGGTCCTGATCTCAGGGTCCTGGGATCTTTACTTTTTTTTTTTTTTTATTCCTCAAAGTATTTTTTCTTTTGCCATTTCTATTCAAATTAGCAGCAGTTCTTCTTTGTTCCATTTTTATCCAATTGAACAAAAAGGAAACTCCTTACTACTCGTGATATCATTAAAGTAGTGTGTGGCACTGGCATTTGGCCAAACTTGGAACATCACTGCTCTGTCAGGATGTGTCTGCTTCTTTGGCAACCTGCTTGATTGAAATTATAGTTGTCTGACCCACTGATTACCTTAAAAAAGAAGCCAGTCTGTCAAGTTGTATCTATACCAGTCCCTAAAAACAAAGTGTGGGAAAAATTCGCAGTCATCGCTTTTCAGTTGGAAGTAGAACCTGTAGAAAATTTTGTTGGGGATTTGTACTTAATCAGCAAAGCATGTTCTCTCCAGGAATTGTGGCTCTTCCGAGCTAAAGATCTAGTTGATTCACATTCAGCCTCACCTTACTTAATGCATTGTACTAATGAATGATGACTCTTTTGAATGTAAATGTTTTTGTGTGAAGCATTGCTGGAATAATTTAGAACATTTATAAATCTATCCAGTAGTCTGGCATTGATGCTGTGATGGCTTTATAATAAATAGGAATTTCCAGAGTGTCATATTCTCCGGCGGTGTATACAAATGTCTTTGAAAAGATCCTAAAGATCCTAAAGAGATTTTATGAAAAATAGCAAAGTGGGGGCTTTAAAAAAAAACAAACAAAAAAACAAAAAAAAAAAACCAACACCTCTTTCTGAAGTGAACAACAATAAAAAAAATTTACAGTTTTTTAAACCTCATTTATATTAAAACTAAGAACCACCACATGTCACAAAGTCTGAAGAATATAGATACAAGATAATTTTAAATCAAGTGAAGAAATGAATCCTCAAGGCAATAATCAACTCTCTTGCTTGAGGTGATACTAAAGTGTTATTGGAACAAAAGAAAAGGAACAGTGTGGGAGAGAGAGATGAAGAAAACACAAAGGAATTTTACTCAACAAAATGGAAGAATTATTTTACTATAACTGTCAGGGACATTCTTAAAAGGTTGGGTGAGGGAGAGCCATATGAAACAGGTTATAAGACAAGATACAATTAAGGAAACGGTTAAGGAAAGATTTTTGGAGATAGACCAGTGATTTAAGAAGCTAAAAATTCAGAGTGACTGCAGAATTAACACTGCAGAAAACAAAAAACCCAAGGAGTAAAGGTTTAAAAATCATACAGGATGCAGAACAAAGGCATGAGAAATAAAACTGAGAGAAGCTGATATGGTTGGAGGACAGAAAAATAGATAATTTCTGTGGTCGAAGAAGTAAACAATAAGTGAGAATTCAGTGAGTATTACTTTCTGAAGTTGATAGGAGAAATAATTTAAACATTTTATTAAGAGACATATAGGTGATCATTATTAAAATCAAAGTAGGCTGTTTGGTATTTAAATTGCCGGATCAAAAGACAAGTATAAAAAAACTATAGACCATCTAGCAAAAGAAAGAAACCAGGAATGAAAACATAAAAACAATAAAGACAAAATAAGATGAAAAAATGAGACAGTATCTATTAAGTCCATTTAAATAGGATATTCTCATGTATTAAAAAAGTCAGATTGACTCAAAACCTGAAGTGATTCAAAATTTAAATGAAAAATATGGGCAGTGATATTCCAGGAAAAGGCAAAGAGAAGTTTGAAAGGGTTGCAATATTGTGATTCAGCAATTAAATTCAAGGTAAAAGTACTGCCTGAGAATGGAACACTTTATAATTTGAAGGTACAATTTGCCTTATGATAGAACTCTTCTGAACTAATTAGTACATTGAATGTACCACTGAAACATACAAAGGAAATATATAGGAAACAGGAAGAAAATTAATAAAATATTATAGCTTTTGTATGAATATAGATTCATAACTGTTTTTTTGGTATTATTCTCCTGGCCCACATCCAGTATAAAGGGGTGCTTAAATTTTTTTTCTTATTTTCTTCCTTTAATTGTTCTGTCTACTTTACAACCATTGTATCATCGCTCTTTGAATATGAAGTATTCAGTCCATCAAACCTGTCCCCCCACTTAACTCTGCAGACCCATCTCTTGTTCTGTTTCATAAAAATTATGGCCATAATACATAAGTAATATTATGCTTTCCCTCACAAACTGTGTTGTTTCTTTGCCTAGTAAAATAGATGTTTCTTATTCTAACACTAATGCCTGCCATTTCCCCTACTTAGATGGTGTCACATCATGTCCCATGCTGATTATTAACAAGACGGCATCTCCAGCTCCAGTCTCTCCTGTGTACACAACCACAGAGCCATCTGCCTCGAGGACGTCTATATCTCCCGAGATGCTCATCAAGCATCTCAAACTTTTCATGCCCCAAATTGAACTCATCACTTTCCTCCTAATCTTACTCTTCCTTTAGAGCTCATTACTTCAGTGAGGGGAAGTCTCCCGTATTCACTGGGAGACTCATTTCTCCTGAGGGCTGTAGTTGGTGATTGGTGAAAAGTGTAGTAGGCTCACCTGTGTTACAAATGGGTTCTTTTAGTTGTGGACAAAAACATTTTTGTCATATGACTTACAAAACCAGCCTCGTAATCATCCTTTTGGCAGGGGAACATTGGGGAAAATCACCTCTACCGAGTGACAGTAGCTTTCTCCTCCAAATCCACAGCTTTGCCACGATTCTTGGGGGCAGACAGGCATTTTCTCTTCACTTTGAACACGGGAAGCAACATCTTCCCATGTTCAAAGAAAACACGAAATCATTAAAAAAAAAAAAAAAGCAAACCCTGGAAAAAGTAAAAATATAGTAAGATGGCAAAACTCATAATGAGGATTTGGTGCTGTTGGCACTGGCAGTGGGGAAAGGTAGCAGGGGTGTACAAAGACGCTGTAATAGGGCAGGCTCACTGTACGTAAGCAAGTTGGGGTCGTGTTTTACTAATTGAGAGTGACACTGTATATTTATAAAGCATCTTAAGATTCTCAATTAATGGAATGCCTGGATGGCTCAAGTCAGTTAAGCATCTGCCTTTAGTTGAGGTTATCATCCCAGGGTCCTGGGATCAAGTCCTACATCAGGCTCCTTGCTCAGCGGGGAGCCTGCTTCTCCCTCTGACCCTCTTCCTGCTCGTGCTCCCTCTCTGTCTCTCAAATAAATAAATAAAATCTTAAAAAAAGATTCTTGATTAATAATATAAAGAGAGAAAATTCTTTGTGCTCCCCTGAGGAAAAATAAACTATATGGTTTCATGGAATTTTAAATGGCCCTATCTTATTTAAAAGTAACAAATCATTTTATCACTGTTTTGATTTGTGAGCATTTAAGAACATAATTTTTTTTTTTAATATTTTATTTATTTATTTGAGAGAGACACAGTCAGAGAGAGCATGAGCGAGGAGAAGGTCAGAGAGAGAAGCAGACTCCCCGTGGAGCTGGGAGCCCGATGCGGGACTCGATCCCGGGACTCCGGGGTCATGACCTGAGCCGAAGGCAGTCGTCCAACCAACTGAGCCACCCAGGCGTCCCTTAAGAACATAATTTTTACTATTAATAGGTTATTATAATATTTATCCTGTATTTTTTTCTTCTGCTTTTTATTGTTACTGTGGTGACAAATTATTAGTTACTTAAATCTCTGGTTCTCAAAGGGTCAGGGAATGGATGAGGCAGGGATGGTGTTGGTGATGGTATGTGCCAGAGAAAATTTATGTTAATAAAAAGGAAAGTGAAGGAGTTACTAAGAATTATAGTTCTTAAGGTCTGAATTGCTTAAGAGTGTTTAAAATTGTTGAGGCTGGGATGAAAGTAGAGAACCACAGATTAAGATTTTGAGGAAAGCCAGGACCAGAAATATCTGTTCTAGTTATATCCAGCCACTGAATGTGGCTGAACAGTCATTTGAAAACATTTTTCTGGTTCTTTAGCACCCTTTATTGTAGGTGAACTATTAATGCCTTGAGGGGAAATTCCTGGTGCTACAGCATAAAAGGATCAACAGCAGCAATTGTGATATCATTACTGATAGTTTAAAAGGATGGGAAAGCCCTTATTTCTGTAAATTAGTGTATTGAACCAAGTTAAGATAAATCTTGTCAGTGCTTAGTGAAGCGGTTTCTTCACTGTATCAACTTAAAGGACCACAGAATAGTCTCAAGCTAAGCTAAACTATTATTTTAAGGCCCAGAAAGATGGGCCATGTTTGTACTTTACAACAAGGTGACTACCAATAGCCAAAGTGTGCCGTCCCCCAGTACATGCTGCTTCCTTCTCTTGTCTTCTGCCTGCTTGGTTCTGTCTGCACGTGCATTTGCCTCTTTTTGAGGGAGTGTCATTTTACTTTTCATTGCCTGTGTGTCAAATATCACAACTGGTTGACATTGGCCAAGCGGTATCAAATGTGGATGTTTGTAGTAGATAAGGAGGTAGCATATCACTTACATATTTGGGGTTTTGGGGGTTTTAATGTGTTGAAATGCCAGTAGTTTAAACTGTAAGCAGAGGCTTTTAAAAGCAAGCTTTTGAGTGGAGTACAATTTCCAGTGGCTTTCTTAACAATCCTTTTTACCTGTTTCCAGACTCTTGCCAACTGAGTACTAAAATAAAGAGAACTAAAATAAAAAAAAATCTTTTGATTTACAAATATCTTCTCCCATTCTGGGTTTTTTTGTTTGTTTTTTTGTTTTTTTGGCTTCCTAAATTCCACATGAGTGAAATCAGATCATATTTGTTTTTCTCTGTCATCCTCTCCCTGTTTTATTTAGAGGTGGTGACCTAAAGATAATTCTTTAATTTAAAATCTTTTCTCTTTTTGTTTATATTTTTTGCTAGATATTAAGGCTAAGGCACACCACAGGTGTAACAACAAAGAAAAATATTGCAGCCTTAAGACGTGAAACTTACACAGTGGATTTTATTAAAAAGCAAATTGAAGAGTTCAACATAGGAAAGAGACATTTAGCCAACATGATGGGAGAAGATCCAGAAACTTTCACACAAGAGGACGTTGACGTAAGTGCAGTTACTCTGTTGGGAAAGTAATTGCTATAGAGTTTCTTTATGATTTATTTATTTTAGAGGGAGCGGAGCGAGCATGCTAGCGGGGAGGGGCAGAGGGTGAGGGAGAGTTTAAGCGGTCTCTGTGCTGGGCTCGGAGCCTGAGGCAGGGCTGGATCTCATAACCTTGAGATCATGACCTGAGACAAAACCAAGAGTTTTGTCTTAACCGACTGTGCTACCCCAGGTGCCTCTAGCTCTGTCAGTTTTCATCAAACTGTCAGAATAAGGACAACTACTACTATGCATTGCAAGTTGGAACCAAGGTTTCAAAGAGAGATGCTACTTTGTATTTTAAGCATTATGAATCATAATGAGTTTTAGATTTTAATCAGAAATGGATAATTTTCTTGATTCAAGGTCTTAGGAGCCACTGTGAATGCTCATACACAATTTGGAAACATTTATCCTATTGTGGAGTCTTAAACTTAGCTTTCTTAAAAATGGTAAAACAGATGGTGACGAAAATATAGTGAAGTTTATAGAAATCCCATAAGTAAACCTGAGTTGAGTGTTTTTTATTATCTCAACTATATATTTGAATTTTCAAAGTCAGGGCATGTTCTAAATGATTTGAGAATTAAAGTTAGAACTCTGTTATTATTCCACTCTTGAGTTGTTCTAACCCTGATAAAAGTAGTAATAATAATACTTTTATCTTTAAAAAAAATTTAAAAAAAAATAATACTTTTTGTCAGACATCCCAACATACCTAGCAAAGGTATTTAAAATTTAACCACTTTGAAGTTTGTTGTAACTTTTTACAATTTTATTTTGAATTCCTGTGTAGTTAATGTGCAGTGTTGTATTAGTTTCAGGTATACTATATAGTGGTTCCACACTTCCACACATCACCCAGTGCTCATCACAACAAGTGCCCTCCTTAATCTCCATCACCTAGTTCACCCAGCCCCTTCACCCCCTCCACTCTGATAACCGTCAGTTTGTTCTGTATAGTTTAGAGTCTACTTCTTGGTTTCTCTCTCTCTCTCTCTCTCTCTCTTTTTTTTTCCTTTGCTCGTGTTTTGTGGGGGGGTTTTTTGTTTGTTTTTTTGTTTTTTTGGCTTCCTAAATTCCACATGAGTGAAATCAGATCATATTTGTTTTTCTCTGACTTCTTTCACTCAGCATTACACTCTGCCTCCATCCATGTCATTGCAAATGGCAAGATTTCATCCTTTTTTATGACTGAATAATATTCCAGTGTGGAGAGAGATGTGTGTGTGTGCGCGCGCAACATTTGGACTGCTTCTGTGATTTGGCTATTTTAAGTAATGCTGCTATAAACATAGGGATGTATGTATCCCTTTGAATTAGTGTTTTTGGTTTTCTATTTTTTGTTTGGTAGATACTCAGTAGTGTGATTGCTGGATCATGGGGTTGTTCTATTTTTAACTTTTTTTTTTTTTTTTTTTTTTTAAATTTTATTTATTTATTTGATAGAGATAGATCACAGGTAGGCAGAGAGGCAGGCAGAGAGAGAGGGGAAGCAGGCCCCCTGCTTAGCAGAGAGCCCCATGTGGGGCTCGATCCCAGGACCCTGGGATCATGACCTGAGCCGAAAGCAGAGGCTTAACCCACTGAGCCACCCAGGCGCCCCTATTTTTAACTTTTTAAGGGACCTCCATACCGTTTTCACAGTGGCTATACCAGTTGCATTCCCACCAATAGGGCACGAGAGTTCCTGTTTCTCCACATCCTTGTCAACACCTGTTGTTTCTTGTGTTGTTGATTTTAGCCATTCAGACAGGTGTGAGGTGACATCTCATTGTAGTTTTGATTTGCATTTCCCTGATAATGAGTAATGTTGGAGCATCTCTTTGTGTGTCTATTGGCCAGCTGGATGTCTTATTTCAAGGAATGTCTGTTCATGTCTTCTGCCTATTGTTAATTGGATTATTTGCTTTTTGGGTGTTGAGTTGTGTATGATCTTTATATGTAATATATATATGAGATATAAAGAATGTACATTTTTGTTTATATATATAACCCCCACACACACGCACACTCTGATCCTTTATCAGATATGTCATTTACAAATATCTTCTCCCATTCTGTAGGTTGCTTTTTGGTTTTGCTGATTGTTTCCTTTGCTGTGCTGAAGTTTTTTATTTTGATGTAGAGCCATTAATTTAATTTTGCTTTTGTTTCCTTTGCCTCAGGAAACATATCTAGAAAAATGGTGCTATGGCCGATGTCAGAGAAATTACTGCCTGTGCTCTCTCTTCTAGGATTTTTATGGTTTCAGTTCTCACATTTAGGTCTTTAATCCATTTTGAATATATTTTTGTGTATGGTGAAAGAAGGTAATCCAGTTTTATTCTTTTGCATGTGGCTGTCTGGTTTTCCTAATACCATTTGTTGAAGATACTGTCTTTTTCCCATTGGATATTCTTTCCTGTTTTGTTGAAAATTAATTGATCATGTAGCCGTGGGTTTATTTCTGGGTTTTCTGTTCTATTCCATTGATTTCTATTCCATTCCATCTATGTGTCTGTTTTTGTGCCAGTATCATACTGTTTTGATTACTACAGTTTTGTAATATAATTTGAAGTCTGGACTTGTGATACCCCCAGTTTTGTTTTTCTTTTTCAAAATTTCTTTGGCTATGCAGAGTCTTTTGTGGCTCCATATAAATTTTAGGATTTTTTTGTTCTAGTTCTGTGAAAAATGCTATAGGTATTTTGATAGGGACTGTGTTAAATGCGTAGATTGCTTTGGGTATTACAGACATTTTAGCAGTGTTTGTTATTCCAGTCCATGAGCATGGAGTGTCTTTCCATTTCTTGGTGTCATCTTCAATTTATCAGTGTTCATCAGTGTTTTGTAATTTTCAGGGTATAGGTCTTTCACCTCTTTGGTTAGGTTTATTCCTTGGTATCATATTATTTTTGGTGCAGTTGTACATGGGGTTGTTTTCATAATTTTTCTATTTCCTGCTTCATTATCAGCATATGGAAACACAACAGATTTCTACACATTAACTTTGTATCCTGTGACTTGACTGAATTCATTTATCAGTCCTTGTAGTTTTTTGGTGGAGTCTTTAGGGTTTTCCATATATAGTATTATGTCATCTACAAATAGTGAAAGTTTTACTATTTCCTTACAGATGCCTTTTTTCTTTCTGTTGTCTAATTGCTATAGCTACAACTTCCAGTACTATTTTGAACGAAAGTGGTGAGAGTGGACATCCTTGTCTTGCTCCTGCCCTTAGGGGAGAAGCTCTCAGTTCTTCCCTTATGAGTATAATGATATCTGTAGGTTTTCATTTGTGGCCTTTATTATGTTGAGGTATATTCCTTCTAAACCTACCTTATTAAGGACTTTTATTATGACTGGATGTTGTGCTTTGTTAAATACTATTTCTGCATCTATTGAGATAGTCATATGGCTTTTATCCTTTCTTTTATTGATGTGATGTATCATGTTGATTGATTGTGAATATTGAACCACCCTTGCATCTGGGAATAAATCCATCACTTAATTGTGGTGAATGATATTTTTAATGTATTGTTGGATTTGGTTTGATAGTATTTTTTTTTAAGATTTTATTTATTTATTTGACAGACAGAGATCACAAGTAAGCAGAGAGGCAGGCAGAGAGAGAGGAGGAAGCAGGCTCACCACTGAGCAGAGAGCCCAATGGGGGGCTTGATCCCAGGACCCTGGGATCATGACCTGAGCCGAAGGCAGAGGCTTTAACCCACTGAGCCACCCAGGTGCCCTGGTTTGATAGTATTTGTTGTGATTTTTGCATCTGATACTGATCTATCGTTTTCTTATATGTTTCTCTGTCTCATTTTGATATCCGGGTAATATTTGGCCTCGTTCAATGGAGTTGGTAGGTGTTTTCCTCTATTTTAGAATTTGTGAGGAGTTGGTATTAATTCTCTAAAGGTTTGGTTGAAATCATTTGGCCCTGGGATTTTTTTGGGTAGTTTTCTTTATATTACTGTTTGCATTTAAAACTGGTCCGTCATCCTCTCCCTGTGACCTGTGTGTCCCTGAGTAACTGTTTTGAGCAAGAGGCTCCTACTACCCAACTGAGTTTACTACATTTTGGGGTGTACATGGAGCATATTTAGCTCATTGAAAGAAATAGAATTGTTTAACGGTTTTGTAATTCTGCCTGAGAAGATAACCATTTTCATAACATTTTAAAAACTATTTTGTTTGGAGTGGTTAGTTCAGTGCTTGGATCTTTAATCAGAATTATTTGTTTGGGCTGTTAAAAATATTTTCAAGATGATTTAACTTCCAGGTAGTCGACATGGCCTATAATTTAATTCATTTACCTGGTTGAAAGCCTAGGCTCACTGTATAATTTTCACATTGGTAATTTAGGTGCCATTGTATTACTATTACTATTACTATTAAATGCTGTAAGTAAAATCTACCATAATTTGAATCCTTCACTCGTTCTCTGATTGCCTTCGTCACACAAATCTTCCATCCCACCTAAGACTGTGTGTTGAGGGGCACCTGGGTGGCTCTGTGGGTTAAGCCGCTGCCTTCGGCTCAGGTCATGATCTCAGGGTCCTGGGATCGAGTCCCGCATCGGGCTCTCTGCTCAGCAGGGAGCCTGCTTCCCTCTCTCTCTCTCTCTGCCTGCCTCTCTGCCTACTTGTGATCTGTCCCTGTCAAATAAATAAATAAAATCTTTTAAAAAAAAAAAAAAAAAGACTGTGTGTTGAGAGTAATAGGAAGTACTGTTGAGCATATTGGTTTATCATGGAGTGATTGACAGTGGAGGTGGTGTCGTACACACAGATTGAGATCTTGTCTCACCCACCCTGAATGCATGCGAGGAAGTGTTAGCCCCTTTCCTTGACACCAGGGACGTAATTCTGCTGTGTTAGTAATTGACCTGCCTCACTTAAGTCTCACATTTTATATCAATGAACTCTTTGGGCATTTTATTAAATTTAGTGGACTCTCTTTGGCATCTAAGT